CATCATCATCATCATCAGCAAATTCATCAGCATCACCATCATCATCATCATCATCACCATCATCATCATCATCATCATCATCATCATCATCATCAGCATCAGCATCAGCATCAGCATCATCATCATCATCATCATCATCAGCATCATCAGCAGCATCACCATCACGAGCAGTAACACCATTCCTCAAACTTCTTCAAACCCCGTTGGTGTTGCCCCCTCTAGGTCGTTATTCTCCTCCTCAGCCTCTTCCTCCTCCTCCTCATCTTCCTCACCACCATCGTCATCGTCATCACCACCACCAACATCCTCATCATCATCCTCATCATCATAATCGTCATCATCAGTAGCATCAGCATCATCAGCGGCAGCATCAGCATCAGCATCGTCCTCACCATCGTCATCATCATCACCACAACCATCATCATCACAATCATCAGCAGCAGCAGCATCATCAGCATCAGCACCATAATCATCCAGCATCATTATCAGCATGAGCATCAGCATCATCATCATAATCATCTTCATCATCATCACATCATCACCATCAGCATGGGGATCATTGGCCCAATTCCCCTGACCAGGACATTCGTCGCCCTCGTGCATCAGCATCAGCATGATCATCGGCATCAGCAGCACTACCACCACCACCACCACCATCATCATAAGTATTACCGTCGGCAGCAGCAGAAGTTTCCTCATTATGGTCATCACCATCATCATTATCATCAGCAACACCACGATCGTCGTCAACATCATCATAGTCATCACAAGCATCATCATCATCATCATCATCATCAGCCGCAGCATCATCATCAGCCGCATCATCGTCATCATCAATAGCATATCATCACCATCATCATCAGCATCATCATCATCATCACCATCGCCACCATTACCGGTGGTCGTTGTCGTCGTCATTGTCGTCGTTGCCAACATCACCCTCATCATCACCCTCATCATCATCATCATAACAATAATCAGCATCACGATCATTAGCAACATCATCAGCATCATCATCATCATCATCATCGACAACATCATCAGCATCAGCATCAGCATCAGCATCAGCAGCATCATCATGCTGATGATCATCATCATCACCATCAGCATCATCATGAGCACCATCAGCATCATCATCATCAGCATCATCGGCATCACCATTACAATCGTCAAACTCATCATCAGCATCACCATCAGCATCATCGTCATATCATCCCCGAAACAGTAAACCTTACCATCCTCATCCTCAGCATCAACATCGTCATCCTCATCTGTACCACATTTAGTTATACCACCATCGGCAACAACATCAACATGCGCATCAGCATTTGTATCATCATCACCCACCTCATCATCAACATCATCACACTCATAATAATCATAATCATTATCACATTATCATCAGCATCACCATCATCATCGTCATATTCGTCGTCCTCGTCGCAGGAAGCACTTCCCGTCCCGTCCCTGTCGGAGCGCGGGCCAGGGGGTCTCCTCCGAGTCGTCCTTCAGCTCGTCCGCCTCGGAGGGCTCTGGCAGCTCGGGGTACTCATCGGACACGCACTGCCCGGGCGAAGATTAAGGTTTTCCGGAAGATCCAGGAAGCCTTCGGTGTTCTCCTTCGGCTTCCGGGGCGCAAGAGCTGCTCTTGTGGATCAGCTGCGCCAAGTCGAGGGCGCTTGGGGGGGTGTCCGAGCCCCCCAAACCAGCCGCCTGATGCTTGGCCCATGCGTCGAAGCGAAAATCATGGGGGAAACCTAAACATCCTCGATTTTGGGCAGATGCCACGGCCTGGCGTTGCCAAGTTTCAGTTTCCGTGGCGTCCTCACGGGGCCCAGGGACCGTCAAGAAAACCCGAGATGTGCAAGAGCAGCTGTCATGGAGAAGGGGCCCAGGCCTCGGCGGGTCCACGCTGCGAAACAAAAGCACGACGTCGGAGCTTTGCGTACAGAGGGGGGGAGGATGGAAAGAAAGGGGGGAAGAGGAGGGGGATGTGGACGAGGAGGAGGAGGAGGTATATGACGATCAGGAGGAGGAGCAGCAGGAGGATGAAGAGCACGCGCAGGAAAAGGATTGGGAGTTTTTGCCGCTGCACGCTCTCTCTCTCTCTCTTTCTCTATCTTCGCAAGAGTGCATGCTCCTCGATGGCCCTGGCCAAGACAAGGCCTCGATGGCTCTTGCCGGGAACAATGCCATGGCAAGGAAGCCATTCGGTGGCAACGCATGGGAACCCCCCCATACCATCCTGTCGGCTGTTGCGAATCGACGCTAATCGACGCTAATCGACGCGAGTCGACGATCATCGACGCTACCCGACGCTAAACCACCGCTATCTCATCGACTCTCAGACGTTAATCGACGCTAGTCGACGCTAGAGACGGAGCTGAGAGGGCAAACCAAACTCCCATGTTTCGCTGCCGAAACATGGATTAGCGATCCATGGATTCGGCGCGCGGTCGCCAAATCCAAAGATCGGGGGAGGTGCCCTCTCCAAGATGCGGCCGGTGCCGCCCCGCTCCGCGGCGGAAATCTGCGATTTCCGATGGGAACGGGACCCGTCACTAATCCACGCCCCCTCGATTCATGTTTGCGATCGCCTGATAACTACTCCTTCCAAAATGCTCACGCCATGCCAGCAGCCGCAGCAGTCGCCTGCTGTTCCCCCTCGGCCACGAGCTCGACGGACGAGTAGAACTCCGCCTGTTCTCTGGCCTTGACCAGCACCTTTGCCCAAGGGCGGCATCAGCAAGAGATCTGCCTCAGCATCTCCCCTGATCCTCCTGCTCCATCTCTTCGACTCCTCCTCCTCCTCCTCATCATCATCATCATCAGCAGCAGCATCATCATCATACCCTTCTTTCGCCTACGCCCCTGCCTTACCCTCCACCACCTGTGCATCCCTTCTTCCGGTCCCGGTGGCCCTGCTTGCGCCTGCTCCTGCTCCAGCTGCTCCCACTCCTGGCTCGTCTGCGCTGCGCCGAGCTCAGAAGAAGCGCCAAAGCCGACGGAACCCAGACACGCACCCATAACGTCATATACCGCAGCCCATGAGAACACAGCGGTGGCGCTGGATCGCCTTTTGAGAAGACGGCCAGGGACGAGAGCGCACTTCCGAAACTTGGACAGATGCGTATAGACATCTGTACATATACATATCTATATGTATGCCTATAGACACCGGAATGAGGCAATTACGATCGTTCTCTCCCTCTCTCAACACGTTGCACGTGCGTGCCCATGCTCATACGAGAGGAAATGCAGCACGTAAGCATCGCACAAGGTTCGCGAGAAGAGGAATATGTGGAGCCCGATCCAAGGAGGAGCAGGAGGAACCAAGAGATGGAGAAGCAAAGGACAACGGAGAGAATCATGACAATGAAAATCGCAAGATGGTTGTTCAGTTTGAGATCCAATGCACTAGCGGGATCGCAACCGAATTCAGACGGGTTTCCTACACCGTGCGACGAGCGTGGCGCAGGTGGGGGGTTCACGCAGTGCGATCGCAGTCGAAAACAAGCTCCGAAGTCAACTGTTGGAGAATTCCTCAAGCGAAACTGCCGTTTCGGAGAATCTGAAGACATCGGGGAACGTCTCACGCGAGACGGCTGATTTTCCAAGAATCGCGTCCATTGTGTGCGCTGAGGGTGGATGTGAAATCCGTTCAAGCAGACACCCGATCCTTTGTGTGTTTTGGACCCTTGCACCATGATCTGCGTGAGTGGTGCGTCTGGTGTTCGGCATTCTGCCGAGGTCTCAAGCGAAACGGCTACACAAAACGCGGACGGAACCCTCAAGCTTCAGTGACCTCCTCGGAAGGGTGCGTAAAATACGGCCGGACCTGAGACTGAAAAAAAACATGCTTCCAGAACATGAGACCCTCCGCCGGCCAAGACACACACAAAACAAACAGATCTCTCCAGCGTATCCTCCCCCAGGATGCACATCGGCATCCTCCCCCCGGAAGGCACCATAATGCGAAGAAAGCTAGGGCACCCTCCCCGAACCGACCACGATCTTACAAATCGGTCCGACCGTACTATAAATGCATATATACATATATATATGTATATAGGTGTGTGTGTGTGTGACTTGGTTGCTCTCTCTCTCTCTCACACACACACGTGGGCGGGCACAACTTCTCCACGTCGGCGCTGCTCGCAGAGCCGAGGGCGGGGAGCACGGGGCCTGTGGGGTCCCTGCGGTGCCTCGGGTCTGGCTGGCATCGGCGCCCTCCCCCGCAGCGCCGACAACGGCAGGCTCCATACGATCTCGATCGAACGAGAAATCGGCCGCCGCGCATACAGATAATGCACATGTACCCATCGGTCGGAAGGAGCGGGTCGAAACAGTAATAAGAAGGCGTTGAGAAATAGATTGGGTTCCGTCCGCCCCCTTGGGAGTACGGAGAAGGTGAAGCCACTCGATCATCGAAGCAGGGAGGCGCTTGAAGCAGATTGGAATCTGGGAATCCAAAAAAAGCCTACGTTCAACGACCGATGAGTCTCGATATGCACACACAAATAGATTGGCGCAGCCCCAGAGCTGCGGGACAACCCGCTGGGCATAAGAAAACGCACCACCACCGCCCAAGGTGTCCGGGACGTGCTGGTGTGTTCGTTGCCCGCGCGACAAGTGCCCGGCGAAAACACCAGAAACATCACGCAGCTACACCACCCTCAAAACCCCACTCCGCCACTTCTGGGCAACCACATGTGGAGCCGACGAGGGATGTCAGGGCGGGGCCCTGGAGGCGACGACGACTGTGGCGGCGGCGGCAAGACAACGACGACGACGACATTCTGCTAGAAGCAGCTGCAAGGCTGGGCTGCAACCAACGAGGGACGACGACCAACCAGCAGGAAACGGGACCCCAGGTCGAGAAATTCGGGCCGCTGGCCCCACTCCTTCGTTTCACGACGGGTGGGCAGCAACTTACGCACTCTCATGATGGCGGTGACGACGACGACGACGACGACGACGACGACGACGACGACGACCCACGGGTAGGCCAGGCTGGCAACGCGGCGGGGCCTGGCCTCCAGACACACCGTCCCCAGCTTGGTCGCCTGGGCCCCGCCTCCTCGCCCTCCCCCTCGAGGAGGAGGGCGACGAGGAGGCGGAGAAACAGGATCTATTTGTCCGAGGCGGCACGTCCGATGCCTTGCGCTCAGGCGGTGGGCAGACCTTGCTTCGCATGTCGGGCTGACAGCACCAAAGCAAGGCCTGAGGCCGGGCAGATCCGCATCGCCGTGCGGTGTTCAAGAATAAGCGGAACGGGTTAAGATCATTAGGGCGAGTCCTCCGCGCACACGTGCGTACTTCTTGCGCGCAGGTGGCACAAACCAAAGACCTGTGGTCTCAGTAAGACCTGTAGCCGCCGCCTTTGCCCCCACCCTTGCCCCCACCGCCGCCCCAGTCGCCACCTCCGCCACCACCGCCTGTTTTCCATGGCCCATTGCAGGACGAGGCTGAGAACTTGCCCTTGCGGTCGTCCCACTCCACCTCGTACCTGACAGCATCGCCCTCCTGGAGATACGCTGTCCGGTCGTCTCCGTTCACCTTCCGGTGCACGAACACGTCGTCGCCACCGTCGTCGGGCGTGATAAAGCCGAAGCCCTTGTCCTCGAAGAACTTCTTGACTGTCCCTGTCGGCATGGCTGAGGCGAGGCTCGACACCAAAACTGAACAAGCTAAAACATTTGTCTTGAGCCTCAAAGGCTGTGAGAGAAGAGAAAGTGAACACGAGGAGGGGAGGGCTCCTGCGAAAGCTCCAGAGGACGAAGGTCACGCCGATCGTAGGGGGGCAAAACCCCAAGGCTGAAGATGCCCTAGCGGTGCCGCCCGACTCTTGCAGGGACCGGCCGCGGGACACTGCGCACGGCTTCCCCAAAGTGCTACACGGAGCCCGCGTTGATGGATGTCACGCGCACGCAGCCGATCTCCACAAATTGAATCCTGCGACCCTGGATTTGCACTCTATTTGGCATCATCTGTGTGGTGAAACTCGCTTGTGGAACTCGCAGTTGTCAATCAACTCCACTGCTCGCACAGTCATCCCACCCACCCACCCGCAACTTGTTGTGCAAAACGCATGCGGCGGCGATTGCGACGAGTGCTTGGTGTTGGCTGGAGCATCTCTGCGGCCGCGCTAGCCCGCGCATGCTCGCGAGCGCAGCGGCCAGCTAGTTTGGCGCGACCGACGCGGCCACGGTGGCGCTGACCTATGGGCTCACATCGGGCACTTCAGTGCGAGTCGGCCACTTGGGCGGGCGCGGTATCATGGCAACGTCGACACATTTATGTGGTGTGCCCGTCATCAACTCCAACGATCCAACAAATACCCCACCCACCCTCCCGCACTTTGCTCGCAGAACTCAACTGGCGTAAAGACTTGAGGACCCATCTCGTGCAGCTGATGATGATTATGGTGGTGTTGACGACGAGGGCCAACGACGATGGCGATGATGATGTTGATAACGGCGGTGGGGATGATGACGATGATGATAGTGTTGGCAATGAAGATGATGGTGACCATGACGATTGCGATGATGATGACCACGGTGAAAAGATGACTCTGGCGATGATGGCAACACTGGTGCTGGCAGGAATGAGGGGAGGTTGCGCACGAACAGAAACTCCGAAGGTCTGACATCAGCGCCAGGGACCGACAACTAGGGGGGGGACCAGATGCTCTTGAACACCGCTGTGCGGGAATGCCTGGAAAAGCATGGATTGTCGAAACAGGTGTCGGCGCACGCAGACGCGGAGACGAGCGCACGCGTGGCCCGCGAGCGCTGCGTGGCGAGTGTGGTGCGCGCGTATGGCCCGCACGGCGTCATTCACAGCACGGCAAAGACCCTGAGGTCTCCTTGAGAGGAGGAGGAGGAGGAGGAGGAGGAAGGGGAGGAGGAGGAACAAGGAGGAACAAGGAGTTGTGCGCGCGCGGATACCTGGCACCGTGTTGGTGGGCAGAACAGGGATATGTTCACTAGCCTGTGAGCTCGTGCACCCAGGGGTTCTAACGCAAGCCGACTGCGCTCAGGATCCGTCCCCGGGCAATGCTTGCACGGAAGGGTTACACCCCTTACGAAGGCAATGGGTCGGTCTGTCGGTCCAGCGGCCATGCTGTCGCCGTCGCCGCCCCGTCGCCGCCACGTCGTCGCCCGTCGTCTGGGTCTGTCTGTCAGGCGCGCCGCCGCTCCGTCGCCGCCCCGCCTGGATTCTCCTTTCCAAAAAAGGAATAGACTCTACCCCCCCCCCCCCGCGTTATCTAGGGGGGGAGACAAGCCTACCTCGCTTTTGACCACCCTCGCTTCCAAGAGATACCAAACGATGCCAAACTACGGCCTGTACTGGTCAGGCCGCTTGACGAGGAGGCGCGTGGTATGACTTGGTTTTGCCTGGAAGCGAAAGCGGGGTAGGTAATTCACGCTCTGATGTAAATCACACATGATTCTAACCACATGTCCGTCCTAAATATGAAATCACAAAGTCCCAGGCCAGCCGGGTTCCCCCCCCCTGAGGTTCCCTTGGGAAAAAACACTATGCGGTGACATCGTTGGTTCTCACATCACACGTTTCTCGCGAATCCCTTGCAAACAACGGGACGAAGTACACACGCGCGTGTCGTCGCGCGCGCATGCCGAAATCCTTCAAAAACCTTCGGTGCCGGAAAGATTTCGCAATCGAGTTCCCAAAAAAACATACAAAAATAAAGGGCTTCGTAACACTGATTTGCTAAAAAAGCTTACGCAGGAGCTCTTGCGAAATCTTAAGAACACCATTGGTTTTTAAGATTTTCATAAAATGCTAATTAACGGGCTTCGCGCGCGCATGTCGAAATCTGTCGAACGCCCTTGCGCGTGTGCCGTCGCGAGAATCCTCTGCAAAAAAGACGAAGTGCAGACGCGCGCGTCGTCGCGCGCGTATGCCGAAATTCTTCAAAACCCATCGGTTTCGGAAGGATCTCAAAATCGTGTGCCCAAAGAACCTACAAAAACCCTAGGTTTCGCAACACGGATTTTCAACAAAAGCGTGCGCGCGCGCTCTTGCGTCGTCGTCGTCGTCGTCGCCGTCCTCCCTCCTCCCGCGTCGTCGTCGCCTACGTCGTCCACTGTCTTTCCCCGTGTTCGTCGTCGTCGTCCTCGTTGGCGTCGTGGTCGTTTCCGTCGTCGTTGTCGCCGTGGTCGTCCTTCCTCCTCCTCCCTCGTCGTCGTCGTCGTCCGTCGTCGGCGTCTCGTCGTCGTCCCTCCTATTTCGTCGCCGTCGTCGTCGTCGTCGTCGTTCGTCGTCGTCCCTTCCTCCCTCGTCGTTGTCGTCGTCGGCGTCGCCGTCTTTCCTCCTTCTTCGTCGTTCGCGTCGTCGCCGTCCTCCCTCCTCCCTCGTCGTTGTCGACGTTGTCGTCGTTGTCGCCGTCGTCGTCCTCCCTCCTCCCTCGTCGTCGTCTTCGTTGGCGACGTCGTTGTCGTCGTCGTCGTCGTTGTCTCCGTCGTCGTCGTCGTCGGCGTCGTCGTCGGCGTCGTCGTCGTCGTTGTCATCGTCGTCGTCGTCGTCGGAGTCGTCGTCGTCGCCGGTGTCGTCGTCGTCGTGGTCGCTGTCGTCGTCGAAGTCGTTGGAGACGTCGTCGGTGTCGTCGTCGTCGGTGTCGGCGGCGCCGTCGTCGTCGTTGTCGCTGTCGTCGTCGGCGTCGGTGTCGTGGCCAAAGGCCATCTGGTACCTACCGTCACGGTCTTGTCTTAAGAGGTCTTGCGACCAAGTTGCGGGTGGGAGGGTGGGATGTTTGCACGAGCAGTGGAGAGGACAGCTTCAAGACGGTCAAAAATAATTGCACAACATAGATTGCATACAGTAGAACCCAGAAAGCTCCACATATATTACCCAACGCATATTGTACGTCATCGACCGCACAAAATATATCGCACATCATGGATTGCACAAACTAGATTGCACCACCTATATTGCCCCGCA